ATTCAGTGGGCGATAGCATGGGATTCAGTGGGCGATAGCATGGGATTCAGTGGGCGATAGCATGGGATTCAGTGGGCGATAGCATGGGATTCAGTGGGCGATAGCATGGGATTCAGTGGGCGATAGCATGGGATTCAGTGGGCGATAGCATGGGTTTCAGTGGGCGATAGCATGGGATTCAGTGGGCGATAGCATGGGATTCAGTGGGCGATAGCAAGGGATTCGGTGGGCGATAGCATGGGATTCGGTGGGCGATAGCATGGGATTCGGTGGGCGATCGCATGGGATTCGGTGGGCGATAGCATGGGATTCGGTGGGCGATAGCTTGGGATTCGGTGGGCGATAGCTTGGGATTCGGTGGGCGATAGCACGGGATTCGGTGGGCGATAGCAAGGGATTCGGTGGGCGATAGCACGGGATTCGGTGGGCGATAGCACGGGATTCGGTGGGCGATAGCACGGGATTCGGTGGGCGATAGCACGGGATTCGGTGGGCGATAGCACGGGATTCGGTGGGCGATAGCACGGGATTCGGTGGGCGATAGCACGGGATTCGGTGGGCGATAGCACGGGATTCGGTGGGCGATAGCACGGGATTCGGTGGGCGATAGCACGGGATTCGGTGGGCGATAGCACGGGATTCGGTGGGCGATAGCACGGGTTTCGTTGGGCGATAGCACGGGATTCGGTGGGCGATAGCACGGGATTCGGTGGGCGATAGCACGGGATTCGGTGGGCGATAGCACGGGATTCGGTGGGCGATAGCACGGGATTCGGTGGGCGATAGCATGGGATTCGGTGGGCGATAGCACGGGATTCGGTGGGCGATAGCACGGGATTCGGTGGGCGATAGCACCGGATTCGGTGGGCGATAGCACCGGATTCGGTGGGCGATAAGCAAGGGATTCGGTGGGCGATAGCACGGGATTCGGTGGGCGATAGCACGGGATTCGGTGGGCGATAGCACGGGATTCGGTGGGCGATAGCACGGGATTCGGTGGGCGATAGCACGGGATTCGGTGGGCGATAGCACGGGATTCGGTGGGCGATAGCACGGGATTCGGTGGGCGATAGCACGGGATTCGGTGGGCGATAGCACGGGATTCGGTGGGCGATAGCACGGGATTCGGTGGGCGATAGCACGGGATTCGGTGGGCGATAGCACGGGATTCGGTGGGCGATAGCACGGGATTCGGTGGGCGATAGCACGGGATTCGGTGGGCGATAGCACGGGATTCGGTGGGCGATAGCACGGGATTCGGTGGGCGATAGCACGGGATTCGGTGGGCGATAGCACGGGATTCGGTGGGCGATAGCACGGGATTCGGTGGGCGATAGCACGGGATTCGGTGGGCGATAGCACGGGATTCGGTGGGCGATAGCACGGGATTCGGTGGGCGATAGCACGGGATTCGGTGGGCGATAGCACGGGATTCGGTGGGCGATAGCACGGGATTCGGTGGGCGATAGCACGGGATTCGGTGGGCGATAGCACGGGATTCGGTGGGCGATAGCACGGGATTCGGTGGGCGATAGCACGGGATTCGGTGGGCGATAGCACGGGATTCGGTGGGCGATAGCACGGGATTCGGTGGGCGATAGCACGGGATTCGGTGGGCGATAGCACGGGATTCGGTGGGCGATAGCACGGGATTCGGTGGGCGATAGCACGGGATTCGGTGGGCGATAGCACGGGATTCGGTGGGCGATAGCACGGGATTCGGTGGGCGATAGCACGGGATTCGGTGGGCGATAGCACGGGATTCGGTGGGCGATAGCACGGGATTCGGTGGGCGATAGCACGGGATTCGGTGGGCGATAGCACGGGATTCGGTGGGCGATAGCACGGGATTCGGTGGGCGATAGCACGGGATTCGGTGGGCGATAAGCACGGGATTCGGTGGGCGATAGCATGGGATTCGGTGGGCGATAGCATGCTATTCGTCGGGCGATAGCATTCTGAAAATACCGTTATGTTGTTCTATTTGGCAAGATCAACTACCGTAATTCCTTGAACAACCGCCGCGGCCTGCAGTGCATCTTACGGATCAACTACCGTAATTCCTTGAACAACCGCCGCGGCCTGCAGTGCATCTTACGTTTCATCCGTTTACTTTGTCTGTGCATTATTTTATTTTTTGGTAGTCGATAAAAGTGTTAATTTTCGTTGGCTGAGCGTAGCGAACGAAACGAAAAATTTATTTTTTTGCCAGCATTTTCACCATAGTTACCGGACCAGGATTGCTTCAGCTGTTTTTTTGTCAGTGTTCTCAAACTTTTCTCTTCATCGTGGTCTTTCTCTTTTTGTTGTAGTTTCCCACCCGCCCTCCCCTGTATTCTCACTTCTGGATAGGTCCTGCAGGCTACGTTTGGTTCATTTATCTTATAGGGTTATTCTAACCGGTTTTCCAGGGTTGTGCCTCCACCAGGGTCCTGAGGTTTTTACGCCAGCTTTGGGCTGGTTAATTATCCGGCGGCCCTATTCACCACAGTGCCAGTGATTCACTTTTTGCATCATGTTGGTGTGGTACATACGTGTACATTTACATGCGTGAGGTGGCATGCCCTTCTTCTTGCTCATGTATACACTACGCTAAGCTCTTCCATCTTCCACCGTGAGTGAACAAAGACCACACTACTACTGTGATCTGTATCTGTCTGTTGTGTGTTGGTGTGTCTGCGTTGTACGCAGAGGCCAGCTAGCTGGGAAAAATAACTCGTCTTGCTTTTCGTTATGTTGTGAAAGGTTATCATCATGGCGTGTTCGATTTGTTCCCTTCTTTAGATCGCCTTTGAGTCCTTTTGTCCGAAGCGAGAACAGCACTAGTTGCATGTGAAGGAGCATGACATCGTAGCCGAAGGTCATATCATAGCTGTGAAATTGCGTACATAAGATGTGAACTGCTCTGCACTTGTGCACAAATAATCCTCAGTTCAAAGAAACTGGCGGCGCTTATTCGAGGGCGGCTGGTAATTAAGGGGCGGCGGATGTTCAAGGAAATACGCTACTATAGTTATGATTTGTTTTGTATTGTTGTGTGGGTGCATATGGTGGAGCTGCCTGACCTCAGAGCCGCATTAAAAAGTTTTCTAACTTTCCTCGTGGCCATGCTGGTTCGTTCTAATCAGATTGTTTATCTATCTTGCTTCTTCATTTTCTCAATCCTCAGGAGGGATTGTCCAGTGGCTCCATTCCCCTCGGACCATCGAAGGACGGTTTCAAGGTGTGGTCGTCCGTTGCTGACAGCATGGACTGCAATGAGTTCACTATCCGCGTTCCGGGGAGCTCACGGGACTTCTGGCTAGCAGCTTACACTCACACCGACTTCCAGGTGTGGATCAGTCTAATCAAGAAGATCATAGATGGTATTCCTGAGCCAGAAGCAAAGAAATGAGCCTTGCCTCGTTCATATTGTGAACCAGTGTAAGCCGGCTTAATGCTGTCTCAAGCCACGCCGGGTTTCCAACCCCGATTACCAATAATTGGAAGTAAACAGTTTCGTTCAATAATCTCTGTGATCACACGAGGACATTTTGGTAGATCATGTGACCTAGATGTCATGTAATGATCTGTCTTTGTACTGACTCTGTACCGGTCTGTAGCTAATGTGATAATGTTCCGTGCTCGACATATTGAATGTATGCCATTGAGCATCGGACGGTATGGCTTTGTAAGCGATGTTTATTTGTTGTCAAAAAAATGTACTTGTACATATCATGCGAGGCAGCATATAGCCAAGCCCATTCTGTCCAGTGGTGTGTTATTATAGAGCAGGTTACAGCTTAGTTGATTTAGTCATCACTTAGCGAAGTACAGGAGCATGCATGCATAGCACGTGTATGTGCTTACCAGTCGTCCCACAAGTGCCCAAGCGCAAGGAAGTGCGTAACCGTTCATGCTGTACATTTGATATGTGGAAAGAGCATCATCACTCTCTCCATCTCTCTCTCACTCTCTCTTCTCTGTCTTCTCTCTGTCTCTCTCTCTCTCTCTCTCTCTCTCTCTCTCTCTCTCTCTCTCTCTCTCTCACACACACACACACACACACACACACACACACACACACACACACACACACACACACACACACACACACACACACACACACACACACACAAGCACATTCAAAACCATAAACAAGTTCAATGATGCCCCTATCTTCGGCCATAGAACATCTGACGTAGAGATCTTGTCCTCATTTTATAGACACACTAGATTAAAACTGGTTATTATAAAGCACACATTGTCTCTCCATACTCTTTCTCTCTCTCTATTTTCTCTCGCAATATCCATGATAATATTATTCACTTAACGCTGACCGCATGTACATGTATGATTATACACCAGCTGCTGTCGATTTTTTCTCCTTTTCTTTTTGCTCATGTCAACTTCACTTGAGACCTAGTGCACTACTTCGAAATAGTAATATTATTACTTCAAGTATCCATGTAGCCCCTGACACTTTAGGTGTATTGAGGCGCAAATTATGTACTTGTCATCTGTAACTCTGTTCCTCGCAATTTTGTACTGTCTTCCACGCGGTGATGTCTTTGGCTATGTTTGAATGTTGTTTATTTACATTCCTACTTCAAAGTGAAGTATTCTGTGGCACTCTGCTGAGTAGTTTGCAGAAGTTGTCTCCAATGTCTGTGGTAATTTGAGAGTTCTGTTTCTGGTGCCAATTCCGTCTTGTTTTGCGTTAGTTTTTGCACGCGCGCACGTTCAATGGATCAACCTTGTATGGACCGTTAAAATATGGACATGTAATACATATGTACAGTCCAGACCTAGAGGATTCAAAATTCAGTGTAGTCAGAACTCTCCACTGGCTTTTTTTATGCCAGGGTTATGAACAGAGCCTGAACACATTTTTTTAAATGGGTTTTTCCCTGTTGTGGAGCCCTGGCACAAAGCATCTGTAACACGGTTGCTTGTTGTAGGGGACCAGGACATTTCAGTCATTAAATTTTCAATGTGTTCATGTCTGCTGAAATGAAGCATTGGAGGGAAAAGCGGCCTGCATGGGGCGAGAAAGCCGAGCGCTGGTGCCATTTGAGCTCAACTTCGTGGCTTTCATGTAACAAGAGAACGAGGGCCAGTATCTCAAACGTGATCCAAGTTAACCGTGACTCAAATTGACGTTGGATGCTTTGTAGAATAGTCAGCGATGAAAGGTTTGGAACTGAAAATGAAACGCATATAGGGGCCATCCAGCATTATCGATTCACGGAAGGAAAAGGTTTAGTTATGACCCTCCCCCCACCCAAACACCCCCTTCAACGAAGAATTATTGACATTACAGCTAGAATGGATTGATGTTTCAGCTATCTATAATTTTCAAAACGAAACACTCCTCAACCTACCCACCCATAAGGCATAACGAAACGTTTTTCTCTTCGTGAAAAAGATCGATAATTATGGATGGTCCCTTAGTGCGTGTATACATGTATGAGACATTGAATACTGTAAAAGCCATATTTTTAACGAAGTGCTAACTCTAACGAGTTAACGAGGAGAAATCTGTCGTTGAAATAAAAATTGTTATACAGAAATCGATACATAAACCGTCCTATTGAGCGTTGAGAATGAGTGAGAATCGTTACCTTTGGTACACGTAAACTAGTCAATTTTTGGGAAATCGTTATTATGCGCCTCGTTAGAATAACAGTAGTTATCGTGATGCGTTCCCTCACTGGACAGGACAAAAAGGACGCAGTCCTTGAATTTACCACTGTCAGCGAAGATTCCCGCAGCATAGATTTCTCTTTCCCGCCTATGGTAACGGATTAATGCCCTTCCTTGGATCTTACTCGGTTTGATTAGAAACCTCTGCCCAACTCCGCACACAACCTCCTTTCACAATCAGGGAGCAAATTGTGAGCGTGTCACGTAGGAATTAAAATTTCAGTGTACGGAAAATGGGCGATGATGAAATCTGCTACCAACGTAGATGGTTGTATGAATAGCTGTGATCAAAGTTGATATACACACAACCAACGTTATGATAGCTCAGAGAGAATACAGATTGTTACGCCTATTCCTATCCTATACAAATATCTTACTGTCTAATGGAGACGTTCTGCAAAGAGTTGCACTTGTAGCAAGCACATTACTATGGCATACTATCAACTGCATCTGGACCTCATCTTCCAGCTGCGTGTGCGACTGTACGTTGCGATAGGACAGTGATCTGTCGACCGAAGGAAGACGGTCTTTCTTCACAGAGTGCCCCAACGCCTTCGACGATACTTCAAGAGTTCTTTCTCGGCACTGTTTTCGCCCTTTGCGATTACTCGGCTGCCGCCAATCCTTTAGATTCTTTCGTTCTTAATCGGGACGTGGCAGGATCGCCATAACTCTGGAATGGTCTCTATTGCATTTTGCTGAATGGTTATTCGGATGGTCTCTTCAGCGTTGTGGTAGGGTGCTGGATCAACCCGAGTGTAGCTTGTAGGCGATGAAATCATGCACCCGACCAATGCTGGGTGCCGAGTGGTCACAGACCTCTTGCAACCGAATTCTTCAACCGTACCAGACCATTCATTACCACTGACACTTCGACAGAGTCGAGAGACTGCAGTTTCCAACTGATAATCATCCGTAATTGATAAAGAGCGGAAGTATCTTTCTGAATACTAAGCTGTCCCATCGTCTCATTCTGTTCTTATCAGCTATACTCGCCTATGAGAGACAGAGAGAGAGAGGAGCAGGAAAGGGATTTGGCGATACTGATATTACATGTCTCTCCTAAGGCGCTTGAGGATGGTCCAGTGACGATCTCGGCAGCTAATACACACCATTCTGGTCCGATGTACAAAAGACAGCCATCTATGTTTTAGTTTAAACATGTTTCTCGTGTCCGACACAAGTGGTACTGAAGGTGTTGCGAGACTTGTGATTGCAAGTGGATCACGTCGGATTCGCACACCTTCATGGCGTAGGCTGAGTACCATATCGTCACCGTTTTCTCTCGTCAGCTTGAAACTCTTCGTGGGAAGTGTACATGGGAAAAGTTCAGAAAGGTAGGACATATGATATTCGTTTGCTGCCAGGAACATGACAAATGTTCGTCCATCTGGGGTGTTGTTTTTATACCCTCCATATGCTAGACAAGATTATGGAACACAATGGGAGGTTTTGCATCGATTGTTGGAACAACACATCACCTTTATCGCTTCCCAATCTTAGACATGATTAGGGTATAATAATCCAGGCCAAATTCCTGTAGGGGTGCGGCTAACCAGCTTTCAGATGATAAAAAGCTGAACACCAAGACTTATACTGCCAAAGCTAAAACTAAATACTCGTGCAGGGTTCCGTGGAACTGGTGGGTACTGGTATGCACCCTCTTAGAGAGAGTTGCTGCAGATCAGGAGATGGAGAGAGATATAGAAAGAGAGAGAGAGAAAGAGGCGGAGACAGACACAGAGAGACAGACACAGATACAAAGAGAGAGAGAGAGAGAGAGAGAGAGAGAGAGAGAGAGAGAGAGAGAGAGAGAGAGAGAGAGAGAGAGAGAGAGAGAGAGAGAGAGAGAGAGAGAGAGAGAGAGAGAGAGAGAGAGAGAGAGAGAGAGAGAGAGAGAGGTAGAGAGAGAGATACAGAGACACAGAGAAAGAGAGAGAAAGAGAGAGAGAGAGAGAGAGAGAGAGAGAGAGAGAGAGAGAGAGAGAAAGGGAGTACTCCAAGCATCTAGGCGGAGAGCCTTCTACTGTGCAGGTAGGGAGCTTGGCTAAGTATACCCCCGTGAATTGTACCTACATGTATGTGTCCCTTTCTGTTTGTGTGGTGTTGATAAACATATTGTGCTATAAGTTGCTTGGTTGGTATTCTACAATTACAATTATTTATCCGAACAAACAATACTATGATCTACCAAGAATAAGGATTGGCGCCCCGATGAAATAAATATTATTGTGTAGTTTGAAGTTGCTTTCACGCAATGCAATGGGAACGTGTTGGCGTTCCTACTCGAGAAAAATGCGCAAATCTTTGTGCAATTCTTCGGACACACTAATGATGTTCATCGAGTCTTCGCTCGACTTTGTCCTGTACATCTGCTAGTGCTGTTACCTTACCATCAGCCTCAATTATTTTATCTACTATTCCACAAACACCCAAAGGTGGAGATTTCCAACATGTACTTCCATTGTGGATTTCTACCAAGGTATTTAATGTCCTCTGCCTTCGTGTGCAGACTTTGTCAAGGCACACAGTCAACTTTGACCGAGCTGCCCAGTTGTTTAGTGGACATCCTGATTTGTATCACTTTCTTGGCTTAAACCCTTAGTCTTCCCGCGATCGAATCGGTCTTTGCGTATACTGTATTCCCACTCAGTTTTTGTTGAACACATCGTAACTTGGCCAGTCCTCAACCAATTTCCACAATCCAAGACCTAGATTGTAGTTGAGATGCTTCGGAGTCGGCTCGAATAACTCCGCTCTGTCTCTCTCTCTGTCTCTCTCTTTCTCTCTCTCTCTCTCTCCCTCCCTTCCTCTCTCTCTCTCGCTCTCTCCCTCTCTCTCTCTCTCTCTCTCTCTCTCTCTCTCTCTCTCTCTCTCGGATGCAATGAATATCGATTTCAGTCAGTTGAATGAACAATAATTATGCTCGGAAGTCGAAGTTCACTTTTACATGAACATGTCCAACTAGCCTTTGTAGAGCTCACTCCCAGTATTGCAGCATGTGACTGCTGCTTTGCGTGAAGCACTTTTCCAACCGTATGTTTGTTGTCGAAAGTTTCAACTTGATTGACAAACTGAACCAGGGGAGAATGACGCCAGCACTCAGTCAAGTGCTTGCTAGATTCAGCAGGGGTATGTGTGTGGAAGCTCTAACAGTCATGGCTATCACAATGAATGCTTGAGACAAAAAAATTCTGCATCAGTTGTATCAGCAATCTATTTTACTATCATAGCTTTCTGCTACATACAGTACGTGATCCTATAAGCAGTGGCAGAGGCGGGGTGAGCATCTTAAATGCAACAATCTCATAATGTACTCACAAGCACCAGGAGGCAACTTGGTTTCCATTCGTCTCCCCAGTTTTACCGTGCCCCGGGAACAGATGACAAAAGCAAGCTCAAATCTTCAGATGTTCGTACCTAGCATATCAGGCTAAGGACTCGCCTCCATTGTGATCGAAGCAGAAGCGGCTTTTGGTACAAACTGGAGAACATCCAGACGCAGACGGTGCTTTCAGGGCTGAACAAGCGAAGATATAATTATTGTAGTAGAGACTTGTGGACGTTCAGCACACATAATGGCACCTTACCTCAAGGCCCGGTTCTCCGGCGTATTGTATTGTCCGTGATTTGGCACGAAGGCAATGTGGTCCGCACAGACTGAGGAAGATATTTCCACCACCAGATAAGGGCGACCAATCAGACCGATCTAACAGAGCAGTGAATTCTCCGAATTGACTGCATAGTCAAACGACATGTGCACTAAGGAGTACATCGAGTTTCTCTCCGTAATCGTGTCCTCAAGTCCGAGGACAGCACACTAGATCTTGAGTGCATGGTTGTTAGAAATCTTTGTAGTTCATGTGTCATACTACAATAGACGACCAGTGGTTCCAGCCGCTTCCAGCTGATACTGTGCAAATTCTCTAGTCTTCCTTTTCGATAATGTTCTGTCATAGTGGAAGATGTCAAGGCGTACAGACTGGCATACATGTACGTGTATGTACATGTATGTTTTGATTTGCTGGACTGTTACAAGTCAAGCATACACTGGATATTGTGCTAACATCACAACAGCTGTTTTCAGTACATAGACCAGATCCTCGGGATGTGAATTTCGTCTGCAAGGGCTTCACGAATTACCTACAAGGCTACATGTACACTGCAATACTTGTGTGGGGTGTATTTTTAACAGTTGCTTCGCTATTAACCTACATTGAACATGTACATTGAACATGTACATGACTGTATAACAGCAGTTTGCGAGTATAAGGATATGTGTGACATTTTAGGATCTTGCCAGTGAAGAACAACACAATCTTGTCGTGGCTTGCAGCTACTCACCCTTGATGCAGTTTCATTGTTCCGTGCTCATTCAGTGCTCAGAATAAAAGCCATCATTACTTTCTAAATGTACAATGTAAGTACTTCGAAGCACATGGACATGAATGCAGCAATAGCCATGCATCTCTCTATACTATAGTCGTATCCATCACCTTTCTCAAGCCCCTTGCAGCTGGTTACATTATTGTCTTGTTCATAGTCACAGTTCACACCATACCACACAGCTGAACCAGGGACTACATACACCGTGAGTGTGTTGTTTGTTACCTCTGTCCTCAGGATAGAATAATGTACACCTATTTACAATATGGTTGTTAAATATGGTGGTAAAGACACACCTGGCAATATGGCGGTAAACACACGCCTGCCCACACACGCTCTCTAGGCTGCAAAGTTCTGGCACAGAGCTCTCCTTCTCACCACCACCACCATCAGTTCGCGCCTGGCGCCTGGTCGATGCATGGCTGGCGGTATCCGGCATAGCAGGCTGGTACATCAAGTAGCGCATGGCACATAGATGATGACACAGCAACGACATAGCTCGATTGCGACGTACGTTTCGTCCCCGCTGGACTCACCAGGCAATCTTCTTCTTGGATGTCTTCATACTACGGAGCCTAGAGAGCGTGTGTGGGCAGGCGTGTGTTTACCGCCATATTGCCAGGTGTGTCTTTACCACCATATTTAACAACCATAAGTACAGCTGCAGTGATGTCTTCAACTTCATTCTCTATTTACAATATGCCAGTATATGTACGCGCATACATTGTGCAATGGACCCCTGTCATTGTACGTGGTACATTACCACGGCTAAAGACACACCCACGCGAACAGCCATACACACAGCTACAGGCACGTGCTGGCGCAGAAATCATCAAAATCCTAAACACATTGCTTAGAGTAGTGCCACCAGTTCCAAAACACCACCGACCAGCATTTGCAGTAAGCTGTGCACGGTTATCGCCACTTATTGCTAATATTAGAACTACAACAGAACATTGGGAGCACATGATCAAGCCGCACGGGGAACGATAAGTCTACAATAATATTGTGTTTGTGGCAATCCAGAACAAAATACTGGCTCTGGCCGACTCTTAGTAGTTGGTCAGGCAGTCGCATGTGAGAAGTGCAATGGAATTCGTACAGCATTTCCACATTCTTCTCTGCGCTCGCCGATGGAGGCGGAGGACAGATTTCATGTGCTCCGTACTACTACTAGCCGTCTTTTCTAAATTTGTGAAAACCTTTTTGGGAGGGCTACATATGATACGTTTCCGATAAGAAATGCGAGGATCCTCCAGAGGCGTGGTCGCGTGAACTAGCCACAGGTGAATGGAATCAGCTGTTACCGACTTCAATCAGCTGATTGGAGCACTCCAACGTTGTGTCGCGTGTGCCTGTCACTGTCAGAAAGAAAAACAGAACAATCCTGCACATGTCATTGTACATGTACATTATTATGTAGTATGTAACCGTTATGTTCATTTTGCTAGGCAAACACAGGGACGTGGCACGTGGAGCAGGCCAACACTGTCACTAGTACTCATCCAGCGCACATGTTAATGACAATGTACAGTGCATGTGTGTATATACATGTACATGTACATGTACATGGATGCATAGTACGGTCACTATCAATAATTAGTTCTTCCTGCGATTCAACGTCAAGATAACAAAAATAATGGAATTGTAATACAAACTGTAAAATTTCGTCACACTTAAGATCATCTAGACCCGTTTCTCGACAAAGGATTTACATGTACATTGATACATGTATAAAATATGTACATGTACATGTACATGTACATGTGACTGTGTGGTGTAAGGCATGCCTACAAAAGCCTAGCATTATGATATTTGCAACTTCATGTAGTCACTGATTGTGATACAAGCATATCAACCAGCTAACACCTCAAAAAACATTGACGTTTATATGTTCATGTACACTTGTATCTCCATATTGCCTTCACTTCTTCGGGAAACAAAGCTATCGAATCGTTGTCTACAGTTTCTTTGTAGACGCTAATGAAAGTCCGGAACATGAAATATGTTGCCCAAAGTACTCAAGCTGAAAACCTCCACACACCACCTGGCTGAATGTAAATCACATTCCCCAAGCATCAGCAATGCACAGTCAACGTAACGTTTTGATCTGCTGCACCTACAGCCCTAATGCCTCCTCGCTCCACCTGGTCAGATGGTGTGTTGGTATTTGCACAAAATGGCGAATTCAATCTAAAACACATCACACTCTGGCCAGATGGAACATTCACATTCTCCAGATGGTCCAGTGAAATCTGGATGTCGCTACCCGAGGATGGTCAGGTCGGCAAATATGTAGATGTTATTCCACCTAAGAATGTCTTACTAGCCCAATCACTAGGAGAATGATAACTGGATCGCCATAAAAACGACGCAAACACACGCATACACCCACACACACACACACATGCATTAGAACGTGGCGCAGATACGATACAAGGCTGGATATCACTACCGTCTTAGTGATCGTGTCGTCCAGAAAGCTAGCTGAGCACTGACGTTTTCAATATCCTGCGGATCAACCGGAGTTGAAATGGGACACTTTACGATTGAATTCGTATCCTCATGAGGTGTACTACGCTTACATGGAGTTCAAATGTGGACCGGCACACACTGGCACACTCTAATGAAGACACAAGGTTCGTTTCATGTCAGACTTTGGGCACGCTTCACTTCTAACTGTTCTAGCTCGTTCTATCTAAACCGTCATGACCGCTCTGTAGGGAATTTGCAATTGCTGAAGTAGTCAGGGGGCACGGCATGATCCTACATAGTATTTCCACAAACTGATGCACAAGTGCCTTTAGACAAGTATTGTATCCTCGCACGCTTCTAAATATACGAGGCACGTCAGTACCAAGTCATGTACAGTCAAAATTAACCCCCAAAGGCGTTCAATGCACATGCACACCGCTACATTGTACAATGTATCTATTACTTCACAGTCCTATGAATAATGGAATGATGGCGTTAAAGTCAATCCACAAACGAGCACAGCAGTATCGCGCATTCCAACACTTGTACGATATACATGTATGCACACTATACATGTACATGTAGTTACTATACCTTATGTACCAGAAGATACGTTTCAAAAGTTGTAGAACTAAAATATTGACGCGTCAATGTTGAGCACGGAAGTACAATGTCATGTACATGTACATGTACATGTACTGTACTGTAGGAATGGTATTAAAGAAGAATGCACCCTGCTACCCGGTGCTTTGGAAATCGGGAAGGGAAGATAGGTTGTTGACTGGAGGAGATAACAAAATTAATATCCACTACTCTAGTGACCCGCGCAGCTGGGCGTATGCCTGTGGCCACGATACTGTCAGCAATTCTAACCAGTATAATCAAACAAACTCAAAGGTATCAGCCGTACGTTATGCATGAGGGAACGTACATATACACGTACGTAAAACGGTAAATGTACAATGCATAATGTATTCAATTTATACAAAAGAGAAAGACCAAGGAACTATAATGTATTTACCGCCATATTGCCAGGTGCGTGTTTACAACCATCCATGTAATTCGGAATAAAGTTTCAGGAAGATCTTTAAAAAAAGTATAATGTATTACATGTATGTACATGCACATTTTACATACAGGTATGCACCGAGTACAATGCAAGATATCCAGACCTAAACAAACGAGGGGGTATTACTACCTGGGTCAAGTTACACTGGAGTACTAGAATAATTGTTCAAGATTCCTCCTCTTCTTCGCCGCGATCAAGCAGGGCGCAGCTCCTCTCCTGCCGAAATTGTGATTGGTCTGATAAGTTGCTTCTCGACGTGTCCTTCGATCTGTGCGCATAGCTTTGGATGGTCAGCGCCGAGGCAAGGGACATCTTGGCTGACTCGTGCGGAGTCGATGGAGGACAGCTGCTTTCAATGCTACTGTTCACCTCGAGGACAGTTGCCAGCCGCTGGATGTACTTGGCTGCACAGCGAAGAACGGCTTGGCGCGGTCGGCGTTGGCTGGCGCTGCCCACGTTCTCTTTCCATACCAACTCCTGAAGAGAGTCGAACGCTGCTGAGATCTTTCGCACCCTCTGCCGCTCTGCATCGTTCACCTTGGCCGGTGCGCGCCGCCGACTTGGGCTGGATTTTGACTTCGATGCGGGTGGTGATTTCGGAGGGGCGGTGCACGATTCCGATCGCGCTTGTTTGACAGGTGACTTTAAAGATGGCTTGCCAGGGAGCTCAGCGGTTGGCCGTGGGGGCTCTTCGAATGGTACACACATCATCATCGCCGATGTTGGAATGCCTCCACTTGAGAAAAGCGAGTCGGTTGACTGCTGCAAGTCGCTCATCGGTGAGCAGAGGAAGTCTGACAGAGTCCCGCTACTGGCACTAGCCAACGAGGACGTATCGGACGAGGGAGATGCCAAGCTAAGAGACATTGGTGACACGAAAGATGTAAACTCCATTCGCATCGCGGGGGACACAAGACCATCATGGAGTGGTTGCGGCGAGAATTCATCGGGTAAGAATCCATCTAGGAACGATTGTAAATCCAGGTCGTCGCTGGAAACGCCAGAGTGTGCCACACTTGCAGTGCTGTTGGCCTGAGTGTTCGGGGCGCATATCCGTACCATATTGACAATTACTGAACTTGAAAGAATGATACGCTGATCCGGTATGACTCCACAGATTGGATTAATTGATATGAGCTGTAAAGACCACCTTTTAAAGATTGCTAATCCTG